GTGCTCATCAAAACAATGAGCACCGAAACTGATTCCTGTGTTTCTCACATACACATGTTTGGCCGAAGACTACAAAAGCTAATTAAAGCTGCCTGAATTCACACAAAGTTGTATTTGGTCTTCGATGTTGTTGAGATTCTGCAATTTAAAAACTAGGGCTCAGTTTGATTTATGGGTTGAAAATCCGTTGATTTTTATCCATTATGTGAATTGCGTTTTTCTTACGATAATAATCAATAATTTTTTGATGTACACAAGCAAAATGTAAACAACGTAAGTGTACTAATAGTATTAAAATAACAAAAAAAAAGTAGAGTATTGTTTCTACAAAGAAACATATAAAATGATGTTTACGCATTAGAGTTTTCATTTTTTTAATTAAGCAAGCTAAATTAAAATTAATTAACCAAAAAGAAATAAAATTCAAATAAAAACAAAATATTTCTTAACTAAAACCTTATGAAATTCGTATCATTTCAATATATTTTTGTATAATTTCTTTTCTTTTTTTCATAAACTTCCACGCAGTTGATGAATATATATATATATATATAATAGGAAAATATGCGTAATTGATACTTGAGTTAAAGGCATAATCTTTTAAGTGCCCCTTGTTTTTCATTCTTCAGGAAAAAGCTATTGAGAAGTTTGGGCTTGTGGCAAACAATTTTTTTTTTTGGCTAAACACAATTAACCTTTTATTAAAAAGAATCATGTTTGAAACATTGTTGGATACTAAATGATAGCCCTACCCTACCTACATAAGAATGACTAAAAATTCAGAAAAGTACTTGTCTAGTCAAATGTAGTGTGGGGTTCATCTCCTGTGACTGTTTTAATTTCATATGACTAAAAAAAGTTATTGTATACTTCTGCTTCATTTTTAATTTTTCTTAAGCCCACCTTTAGGCCAATTTGGTTATCATCTCATATCAGAGAATTGCTGAACAAAGTACTCTTTCGATCCTAAATATAAGATCCTTATACACACTAGTATAAGGGTCCGGAGGAGTATATTGTACCTTGAATGTCTTTAAACTTAAGTGACTATCTTTACAAGTAGGTGTATCGTTATTTACAAACGACCTGGAACAAGTTGCCAGTAAAATGGCAGGGCAATCTTGAAAATTACAAAAATGAAAGGGGAGACTTGAGAGAGGCCTTTAGTTACGCTGTGTGATAAGTACTTATTTTATTATGATTTTTCATATCTTATTCAGGATTTTATCATATTTATTGGGCTTAAATACATTTATTATGATTAATTTGGATTGATTGTGATTGGATGAAAATATTGCTAAAAATGACAAAAATATCAATTTTTATGACTTATCTTACTTGATTGGTTTTTTGAAAAATATGATATCACAATATCTTCAATTTTATTGTAAAAAATTTGGGAAAAATTGAAGACAAAAGCTGAAAGAGAAGGACTTAATGAATTGTAGGCAAGGACCAGCAGATTTCAATAATTACACAAGAGGACCAACACATGAGACTCACCGTTTCGGGAGACAAGCTTAGGGCACCTGACTCAATTCTTCTTCTTCGATTAGCAAGAACGTGGGGGATTGGAGGCAGAGCGGACTGAGGGCAGAGAGGGTCGCGACCTTCACCTTCTCTTTCATTCACCATCGTCACATCTCTCCGTCACTCCATGAACCATCGTCGACCCCTTCCACAGTCACCATCACCATCGACGGCGACCCAATCCTTTCCTTTGTCAATCACCACCTCCATCCCTTCCATCATCATAGTCTTCAATCTCTCACAGCCAGGGAGAAAGATCGCGACCTTCGTTTTCCTCCATCCGTGAGCACTGCCGTCGAACTCGTCTTCACCACTAATCATCATCATCTTCAAGCCGCGACGCCTCCACCTTCCATTCTTCTTGTGTGAGTCTCTCAGCCCGCCTCTCTTCTTCCAATTCTTGGTTACTACAATGGGGATTGAAGAGTTGAAGGAGCTCGGCGGAACAACTCAGATTACCTTGAGCAGCTGAGTGTGGAATCCCTCTAGGAGCAGAGAGCTATGCCAGAGCTTGGAGCAATCAATTAAAGAGTTTTAATTATATTCTCATCTCCAATTTCAGTTTTGAATTTTGGTTTATTTTAGTTAGATAATTGGATTGTGATTCTCGATTTGTTGCGTTACAGAATCAGTGTAATTTGGGATTTGAATATTGAGTTTGATAGTTGTGCACTTGGTTTGTATTATTGAATGCTTAACTTGATTAATCTAAGTTTAAGCAGTTACTTAAGCTAATTGATTGATTGGAAATTAAAACTCTATAAATCCTTTGAAGTAAGGAAGGCATGGTTTAAAACTCTAAAAGGAAAATCTTCAAATTCAATTTATCATTTCACTTATTTTTATAAAAAGAAAATTTAAAAAGAAGTATTTGGAAAAAAAATTCAATTTCTTTGGCAAAGTAGTTTTTTTTTTTAAATTTGAAAAAACCAATAAAACCCCCTTTAGTAGCAATTTTTATATTTAGTTAGATTAGGAACTAAATAATTTTTAGGTCAACAAGAGAATAACCTTGATTGCATCACTTACTGTATTCTAAATCAAATTTAATTTGATCCTGAAGGCAAACAGTTCTTGATATTAAAGCTAATTAACTAATTTAAATAAATTAAAGAAATAAGTTAAGGTAGTTATTTGTAATAAATAAGCATTGTTTTTCCTAAAATACTCTTGCTAATTTTGTGTATTAGTAAGGGTATTTTAACATGTGCAACTACTACAAGGAGTACCTTGGAAAAAAATAGATAAATATGATAGATAAAGTAAATTGAGGTTTTATATTTAGGACCAAATTAAAAATCAAACTAACTCTTATATTAAAAATCGGAGGTAGTATTACTCAACATTAATTATTTACTCTAATTAGGATCTCTTAAATTCAAATAAACGCATCTTGTTGGAAAAAGGGTTCTAATTTTCTTTTTTGAGCATGTAACAATTCAGATGAGATGTGTGGGGTGCCACCAGATTCGAATTCTGTGCAGCAACAAATTAATTGAGTGATGTGATTATGTATATGACCTGTAAGAATGCAACAAGAAAGAGAAAAAGGAACGGATGGCTTGCATGGTTTTTCGTGCGTGCAGATCTAATTCCTCTGTGTTGAGAAATAATCATTCTCAAGTGACAATGTTGGTTCAAATGTGCGTGCTGATGTTAAATTTGTGTTGCGTGGGATTCTCTACTTTTTCTTTTTTTTTTCTCTTCCTCATAAATTATTTCAATCATTTTCATTTTTTTATTTTTAAAATAAAATAAATATTATTTATAAACGAACTTTTCGATTACCAATTTTTAACTCCATTTATATTTATATATAAATTTTCCTTTTTTTATTAAAAAATCTAGATAATTTTTTTCCGTACTGAAAATTTTAGATAAGTTGAGTCATGAATAATTTAACATTACGGTTAAGGGTGGGTAAAGTGCGTCTAAAATTCTGGGTTGTTTATTCTCCGGCTCCTCCGTCCTCGCAGGTAAGGGGGGTTGGAAGATAGCTCCCTGTCGAGCTTCATCCCCCCAACCCTCTCCTTCACTCAATGTTTCTCCTGCTGCGCGAGAGTGGAAGTTTGCAGCCTTGCGGGCCTCGGAGGGCCCCTGCCAGTACCGGAAGTGATAAAAAAAAAAAAGTATTAATATAATATTATTCAGATTCTGAATTATACGTCGCTACGCTATTCCCAAGGACTGATAGCGAAATTCTCGGGTCATCTCAATGGGTTCAGAAACCACACGTTTCTCTGGATCATCATAGCGTGCTTCTACATATCCACGCAACAAATCGATGGATATCATATTTACTGAGTTTCTAGTTGATTTAATAATCAGCTTAATCCTCATCATTGGTAATTAACTTGTTTAGCTTGGAAGAAAGAGATTTTTTTAATAGAAGTCGAATCCCCATATAAATATATTGTTGCAAGCGGGCCTTCATATGATATATGTAGATTGAAAACGATTTTGGGGTCATTGTAATGACACACACACGCACTCTCTATCTAAATCTAATTGTAATGGTTTAAATTTAAAATTTTCAATTTATGATTTTTGAATTAAAAAATTATGCTTTAAAACACCAAAAATTGAGAGATTATTTTCATCTTGAATTTCATACCTATAAAAAATAAAAAATAAAAAAATTAAATATGAACTGTCTAGATAAAAAATGAATATTCATATCTCTTTTTTTTTTAATTTATTTTCAAAATAATTATTTTAATAAATACAAAATCTAAAATAAAGATAATCTGTTTACTATTTTTCCCCAAAGAATAATCTCGAAAACAAAGATAATATGTTGTTAACTATTTTTTTTCAAAGAATAATCTTTTATTTAAAAATAATCAATTGAAACTTTTAAATGTGTACTATCTATATTAGATTTAGATGTTTCAAATATGATGAATTTGAATATTTATCAAGACTGATAAGCATATAAACTGAGTCCGTTACTGTGGGGTTTTCAAAAGATTTAACTCATCAGAAAATTCCGCTTAGATCTCACGAAAGCGCAAAAATTTTATTTATATGAAATTTTGCTTGCAATTGGTTTTTTGTGTTGTAAAAAGAGTCTAAAGAAGTCAAAGATTTTTTTTTCCCCTCTAAAACTCGAGGGATGATGTAGATTGTTTCATGTTCATGATCAACAGTGTCAAGTATGTGCAATGGTATTTCTTGTCGGGCAATATTTCGCAGAACTAGAATTTCACAAGATCGACATTGAAGGGCAGATCAGCAATGTTAATATGGGAAAATCTAGCAAGGATCAAATACATTATTGTACTAATAATCATTAGGAGGGGAAGGGAGAAAGAAATTAAAGACATGTATATGGAAGATGGGAGGGAGAGAATCCCCAGCTACATATAATCATGAATAAGTCAATAAACATAATTGTTGATGGATTTAGGAATTATCCAAGCGGGAAGGCTCAATTTCTCCAAAAGTCGTGGGGTTATTATTTTGAGCCATTGCCCCTTCTACCCCTTTTAAATACTTTTCTGATAGTATGGTCGTTGAACTTTCGTAAAAATACCTCTGAAAAGATCCATGTAGAGTGGAAATTCTATAATTGTGAAGGAAATAGGAAGACAAACGATACAATAGAGGATGAGCGCTACTGAGTTCTTGGACTTGTCCTCAAGCACAAAGGAATGCGCAGCGCAGAAAGAGATGAACATTGAGATAATGGACAGAAACAGTGAGCTTAAGGCCGAAAAAAGTTTCAAAGGCAATTTTTTCATAAAATCAGCGGGTTGTTTTCGTGAGGTCAGGATGGAAAGGAACAAGATGAGTGCAGTGACAGAGAAGCAGAGTGCCATGAGTGCAGAGATCGCAAAAATATCAAATCCAGGACGTCTTTCTAAGGTTGGTTTGCCGGTCTTGTCATCGTTGCCACCGGGTACAGTGGTTGATGTTGCATAGGCAACTCCGGCAACCAGCGCGGCCACCACTGAGCAGGATTCAGATGTACGACTAAGCCATTCATCACTCTTTTCGACAAGATCTTTATGATATGTAAAGAAGACTTCTTCTGGAGTTTTACCTTCTCGGTTTTTAAGGAATGCTGCGTAGGATGGCACCAACGATTTCACATACTGCAATTCAAACTCAATCGTCAGAGTACTTAAACTTAAATATTTACAAGGATAACCAATACAAGTATCTGAGAGCGAAAAATGCATATCATATCTACATATTTACCTTATACCACTTGGTGTCATGTTGCATCTGCAAGGCACTAGGGCCCCGATGAAACTGCGATTCGTACTTTGCCGCCATGTGCAATATATTATTGCCACCGAAATCCACCGACTGAAGGAGTTTATTCCACAGCCTCTGCTGCTTGAGAAGCTTAAAAACATAGGGTTGCCTGTACTCGACTGCTATATGCAACACATTTTGGCCTTTCGAGTTGGTTTCGTGGATGGCCCCTGGTTTGTCCTTTAGAATTTGCTCCAGTATTTCCAAAACTCCATTTTTCGCTGCAATAAATAATGCTGACTCCTTTCTGTCCCATTCTTCCTTCTTCTCTCCGTCGCCTACAGATAAATCCAATGAATATGATGCAGTGGAATCTGAGTAAGGAAACAGAGGATATAATACACCACTAACCCAGGCATATGCAGCATCCGGTTAAAGCCTTGCTTTCGGATCCACTAGTTTTGCCTTTGCACAAGCTTGTGAGGAGTCCTCGCAATTCTTGATTGTTTTGAAACGTTAATTTAGACAATAAGAGAACAAAAGGGAGCTGAGAAATACTTTTATTTTACATGTTGTGATTAAAGACTTCCAGGTTTCAAAATTCAATGACTTGATATAATTAATGTTAGAGAGTTACCCTTTAACTTGTTTTCATCCACATCAACAATTTTAGTCTCCTCCTCCCTTTTTTCTGCAATTCATAAAGTAGAGATTAGACTTCGGATCGTTTTAAAAAATACAATAATAAATCAGATTAGGCACAATAAGAATAATATGACGACCCGAACTTCAGGCTCTATATTTTGGCCTGCAATTAATTGCATAGTTTTTGCAGAGAAATCGGGAAATTTTAATTACCTTCCTGTTGATTCTGATTGCTATCATCATTTTGTTTCGTCGTTTGGCCTGCAAGTGCAATTATTAAATTATAAATTGGTGGCGCTCTATTTAGAAATTTCAGCCCACTTCTTCCCATCCATAATCTATAGTTTTATATATGTGTGTGCGCGCGCGCATTTATGCAACAATGAGGTATAAGTTTATTTTCACTATTTTGAGTCGATTTTCTTTCTATCTTTTTTGGTGAAACTAAGTCTGTTTTCTGGATGGATATAACATCTACACTCACAGTGCCACAAGCCCAATAAAAATAAAGGTGGGCGTTGAGGGTGATTTATTGTTGCAAATAGAACTTGTTGATAAACCAAGGTTCGAATCCTTACTAGGAGATGTGCTCACATTTAGTGTCCGACAGTGCCTCGAATAGGATTACTTCCAATAGTAGGATACTATGCTTTAGCGAAAAAATAGAACTTGTTGATACCATGAAATTAACCATAATTGGAAAACCTTGTTTGTCGACGATCTGACCACTAGGTCTGGGAAATGGTGGTTCTCCTTCGGTAGTTCCATGATGTAAGGAATAGCTTTGGATCAGGGCACTTCCACCTCCAACGTATGCTACATCTTTATGCTCCCAAAGTCGACCCAGTATTTCGCGACACCAGACGTGCTTTTGTTTCTTGATCTTCAAATCCTTTAGTTCCCGAAACCCTTCATATAAACAAAACCACATGTACGGTCACAGAGAATTAAAATCATGATTCACAAATACTACCTAGTCCTTAATATAAAGCTAATTAACTAATTTGATTATATTAAGGAAGTTTGTTAAGTTAATGATTTGTAATAAATAAGTGTTGTTTTTCTAAAAATATTCTTGCCAATCAAGCGTATTAGTTACAACCACTATTATTACAAAGACTACCTTGAAAAAAAAAAGGTAAATATGAGAGGCAAAGTGACTTGGAGTTTTATATTTGGGATTAAAATAAAAGTCAAATAAGTTTTTATATTGAGGATCGGAGGTAGTAATTATAGGGTTATGGTGCATCCAGTACCCTAAAATATTTCGTGTTGTATAGCATTCTGACATTTTTTTTCATGTGCTTCCAACACCCTAAATTATATGTTGGTACATCAGCATCCTAAAGTATTTTTTCAAGTGGGTTCAACACCTCAAATTATTTCTTGATGCATGCATTTGACACCCTAAATTGCTATGTGTAAAATTGCACTAAAAAATACTCTAGGGTGTTAGATGTACTAGAAAACATATTTTAGGACGTTGGACACAACACTAAATATTTTAGGATGTTAGATCTACCCAAAAAAATATTTCAAGTTACTGGATGCATCTTACCCCATAGTTATATATATCAGCACAATTAAGCCAGCTTGATAGGTACTAATATTATACTCTCTCTGTCCCTTTTTAATTATAAGTAACTTTGAACTTCATTACGTGGATAAAAAAATTAGTTAAAGACAATAAATAGGTAGAGATTGTGAGTTTTTTCTTCAAAACATCTTTATTTATGGGGGGAGAAAAAGTATAAGAAAGAGAATAAGAAAATTATTATAATAAAGAGAATTATGAAAGAGAGAGAATGTGTGATGGAGAAAAATGATAACTTGGAGAATGAGATAATAAATATATTGAGTATTAAAATAAGTAATTAATGAGAATAAAATAGAAAAATTGCCACAAAAATTTAAAACAAATTATAAATATTGCTTATATTTAAAAATAAAAGAAAAATGATAGTTATTATTTATAAAAAGCAACGAGAGAGTAGAGATGGAGAGTGCATACGAAGGGTGCCAACGACAGGCAGAATAACAAAAGTGAACGCACGCGCGAAAATGTCAAAACATGTCCAATAATTTGGCGGCACATTTTCATATCCGTCGTAACTTGGATTTTCTGCATCCGCTCCTGCGCGCAGCAAAACAAGGAACATATATATGATCAAACTCAAACAAGCCACCCTAGCTAGACTACTTAATTACTATATGCAACTATATACTCTTCTGATCTTATTTATAAGAGAGAGAGAAGATGCTTTTTATTCCTATAGGGCACTAAGAAAATTTTTTATATGAACGTATAATTTTATTCTTTATTTATTGATGTGTTGACTTTCTTTACATGTATAATGGATATTAAATAGGGATAAAATTAAAAAGTTATTGACTTTTAAATGAGAGTTAATGAAGTTTAAGATTTTTTTAATACGTGTGAAACAGGTTGAAAGTGACTTCTAAATAGAACCAAATGAACATACTTTAAGACTAAACTGAGTAAACTAAAGATATACGAAGTATGTTTTCATTTAGATTGAACTTGCCAGCCTGGGTTCTTTGTCTTCCAGATGATTTTATCCGGAGCAATGGGTCAGTCTTTGGGTGCTGTTCGAGGCTCCTCAATGACTTCACGCATATGCCTTCCGCCACAAAAGGAAAATAAATAAATACTTGAATTATTGATATATCTAGGAGACTGTTTGTATTCTAAAATATAAAGAATACTTATAATTCAGTTTTTATTTTAAAAATTTACAAATTGACATCCATGAAGGGGTTCATGTTCTTAACTTTATTTTGTTTTCATGAATTAAGCTTTGTCTTGTCGGGTAATGGAAGAGGTCGTACAACGGAGACAAAAAATAACAGAGAGAATTACGAGGAGATTAAAAGGAGAAAAAATGTAATCAATAAAAATTTAAATAACAAATCAACAGCAAAAACTTCTAATCGTTTTCTTTATTAAAATGATGCTCAATTATCATTAAGATTTTTTTATTATTAAATTCTTGGCTTGAGACTTTATGAAAATTCTCTCAAAATAAAAATCAGATGTGGGGCCTGACTCGTTAGTGTTGGCTCCTACTTCTTTTTTCCCCCCTTTTGGGAAAAAGGTAAATAAATACGTACTAGTGGCATACTTACAGTCGTAGACAAGCTTGTGATACCATCTAAAACTGCTGCTGCTTTCAAAGGCGGAAGGTTTGTCGGCCAGGATATGGAGAGGGGTAATTCCCCTTTCATCCAAAGAGCCCACTATAAACTCTCCGTAAAGATGAATGATTTCAAATGCCAACTCTGTGAATGCAAACAAGAATGAGTTAACAAAGGTCATATATAAATAAATGATTAATGAATCAACAAGGGCTCGGAGTAACCAACCAAAGTGGTCTCGGCGGATGGTGCAGTGAAGGATATTCACTCCATCGCTGGATCTTCTCCAGAGGCGCGCAGTTGGGTCGGGGCAACGAGAGTGGAGGTAAAGGAAAGCATCCATATGGCCGTGAAGAGCGGCCAAGAAGAGAGGAGTCTCTCCTTTCGCGTTGCGAGCTTCAATCAGTTGGGCGTCTCGTTGAGCTTCGGCGATGCACTTGCACATCTCGAGGGACCCTATTGATGCTGCACAGTGCAGTGGGGTATCTCCTCGATCATTCTTTTTTCCCAGCGCAGACAACGACCCACTTCTCGTGATTTCCATTACTAGCTTCTCCACCATATCTCCTCTGTAGTCCTCCACCGCTACATGCAACACTGTGTCGCCGGCGTTGTTGATCGGTTTATCGTGAATAATACTCACTTTGTTTTTGTATATCGTCAAAGCTTCATCCCAATCACCCTCTAGCGTGGAATCGTGTAAACTGTCCGCCGTCACCAGAACATCCGTAAGGGAATCCATACGTTGCATTTTGCCACGATGCACGAACCAACACAACGTGACTATGTGTGTGTTAAGATGGTGGCAGTGGCTGGTGGTCACTTCGTTCCCAAAACTCGCTTTTTATACTGCTCAGCTGCTCCCATGTGTGTCTGTAGTACAGTACAGATGAATCTCTTTTCATTATATTGTGGAAGGGCAATGTGATATCTTTTTGTTTTTTCATTTTTTTATCAATTAATAATTATGCATATATGTATACGGAACACGTTACGTTGTTTGCCCTTTCGAATGTGATGAGCAACGATAACCTAGAAACAAACATCCTATGACGTTCAGATGGATCCTCTCCAGCCCTTTGAAAAGTGTGGTGGCATGGTAAAACATAAACCCAAAAAATAAAGTACTGTACATAGTGTGCTAAGCGTAGCCTGGAGAGGTGAACCAAGAGATAATCTGAGCACACCTGAATTTAGCGATTCTGTTTAAGTTGACAATTGCTTATACTCTTTTGGTTTTATTTATAGGGCGAAGTAGCGCTTAACACCCTAAAATTATTTCACAGGCACACTCAACACCCTAATCTTTTAAAGGGTGCAATTTTACCCCTCATTTTTTAAATTTGGAGCAATTTT